CATTCAAAATTCAAAATGGCTAACAATTATGAAAATACTCAAATATACTCAATAACCAACCTACTTGTAGGCTCTTAATCGCATCCAAGTTTAGGAGAGAACCACCAACTATACTCTAGACCCTAGAGTCTCGGTACTCTCAGTATATAGTTCATGGTGGAAGGACTTACCTTTGAAGCGGTATTCAACGTTTGGGGATGGGTGCTCCTCATAACTACATATACCCCTCTTACAACCCAGCTAGAATTAGTCACTGCATGGTCAACGTCCTTTCACAGGACGGACCCATCATGCAGGCGACCTTGACCCACTTGCATGATCAACATCTTACCATAAGACGGATCCCCATGCAGAGTAGTCGATCTACCATTGAGTAACACTTCCCTAACAGGCGCCTCGTCAAGCTTAACAGTACCACACCAGAGTAGGAAGGGAAGAGTAACACCTCCCTAATTGGCGTCTCGCCTAGCTCAATGGTACCACACCGAAGTAGGAAGGGAAGAGTAACATCTCCCTAATTGGCGTCTCGCCTAGCTCAATGGTACCACACCGAAGTAGGAAGGGAAGAGTAACATCTCCCTAACTGGCATCTCGCCTAACTCAACGGTACCACACCGGAGTAGGAAAGGGAGGGTAACATCTCCCTAACTGACGTCTCGTCTATAGCTCAACAGTACCACACTGGAGTAGGAAGGGAAGCAGAGCATACTCAAATGCTATACCAGATACTGTCGACTAAGAGATCATCTCTCTATACCTCGGGGTCCTAATGCGGTTCTCTATATCTCAAGGGTAGTTAAAACTATTAAGTTAGGGGCCCTAGCTTCCAGATTCACTCAATCAAGACTCCCAGGTCCATAACAGTCCAGGGTTAAAGGGTCTCTCCCTCTAAGCGTCGCTCACGACACCATAGACCGTAACATCAAGAGGGTCCTCTAATTAAACCCAACTCAATCCCTACAAGAGTTCACCCTAGGCATATCACAACACTACAGCTTATCAATCATATCATAAGTTCACACAATCATTCAAGATAAATTTATGTAAGATTAACAACGCATGCAATCATACAAGCTCCATGGGGCGGTAACATCCATCAATACCCGGAGCGCAGATACACAAATTCTCCCGTCCGCCAACATAGTATATATGAACAAATAAAAGCATTAGTAAGATAGTCCAGCAAGCATACAAACAACGAGTACAAAATCTCACTAGGGCGGCAAGTCCAAGTCCAACAGATACATATATTTAATTCTCTAAGTACAAGGGATCATTAGATCTCGCCACCTACGGGTAATTTGCTCTAGCATGCATGCAAAATTAAGCGCACCCTACAAGTATTACTTCCTAAATCCGTATGGTTAGTTACAGGAATGAAGCGCACCCTTCGAAACTTACTTTTCGACTAATTAAGAGCTTCAAAACTCTTGAAAGTTTGCTGATAGGTCCTAAATCAAGTTAGACTTAGATCAGTATCAAAATCGAGATGAAAATAGTCGAACATAAGTCAAATCAGGATAAAAATATAGTCTCATGCACTGGTTCACGCGTCAGAGGGATTTCCCACGCGCACAGACACGCGCGCGTACGGACGCGCCGAGGGGATGGATCATGGAATCGTGCGCTGGTGTCCGCCACATGGCAAGGGCTGACTGGCCCACTGAGAGCCAGGGCCTGCGTTCGAATCTGGATGCACGCGGTTCCTACGATTTTTCCCATGTTGACGCATGGCGAACGCGGGACGGGTAGGTTGACGGGTTCAGGTCGCGCGCGGGTTCACGGGTCTGGTAGCAGGCGCTAGTCTTCAAACCCTACCAGACGCAGTTTTTTTTTTTTTTTTTTTTT